CTTACCATCAGGTGGACTGTGTGCTCGTTTGTCACCCGATCCTATAAAAAAATAGGTACAATGCGGTAGATTAATCACTCCACAACGCTGTTTTAAACGAGATGAGGAATAGGACGCATAGAGGCTGAAACTTTTTTTACACTTTATACATTAGATGTAACGAAATCTTATTTTTTTTAATATTAGAAATCCATATATAATTATATCACCTATAAAATATTGTTTTGTAACTACATTTCTAATAAAATATTTTAATCTAATTTACGAGTAGCGGATACAGACAAGAGTTAGGTAGAATACATTTCGATCCGAAATAACAATTCAAATTATCCTAGCGTCCGCATTTGAAATAACCTTACTGGATCCACAATTATTTAATTCTAGGTTTTTCGTATCTCCAACGCATGGTGTAGACGTATCATTATCATTAGTTCGGAAAAAAAATGCGATTATGTGTTACGCCATTGTGATGTCGTATCCAATAAGTCCCATTCCGCACCAGACCTCGTATCTCATACACCTCGCATTCGACGTAATTGTCAACCCTAAGGACTAAGAGGGAATGCTTCGTTACAAATAAAAAAGCTTTGTGATTTTTGTCACCTACCATACAAAACACAGCAGCATAAAGCTGCTATTTTATGCTGGTATTCTGTGCAGTCGGAATCCTTTGATACAGCCATAATATATTGCAGCATGGGTGTCCCACAAACAAATTGTGTTCTTCTTCTTTTTTATCAGCCACCAAAAGGTCCTCTCCCCTTAGAGGGAGAATTTGCCTTAATAGTCACGCTTGGCAGGCGGACTGACGATTACAATGCCGGATCTGACGCACCTTTAACAAGAGTTTGTTATTCCTTAAATCATCGCTTGATGATAACATGATCAAATACCTTATTAACGACCCACTACAAACTTCAGACACCTATTGGATAAAGATAAAATGAGCTGGAGTTTTGAACAAGACAGGCAGTGTTTGACCTCTTATCTTTACAATCTATTCATATTAAAGTTATTTGGAATTTGGACCAATAGTTTAGATTTTATAAGTATTTTTTGTACGAAAAAAAAAATTCTGTGAGTCTCATTTTTCAGTCGGATAGGTGTCGTACTCTAGTTCTGCACTTGGATAGCCATAGTGTACTTGCCTTAAATACTGTGCACTTTGATATAACTTGGCACCACTGAATGGACTGTAGAATCATCAAATTTCAACGAAATCAATAATTCTAATTGTTTGTTCCCTGTACTTCAAGATCAGGTTCCCAAAGATGTTGCCACATGGATAAACTTCAGCCCATTGAGTTGCTTACGCCCGAACGCTGATTTCGGGATTGACGTCAGAGGGCACTCGGCTCGGCGCTATACCGGTTTGACGTTCGGGCTAGCTTGGATGTGTCGAGGGCGCGCGAGGCACGAGTCGTCTGCCAGCTGTGCTAACGTCAGCACGCTGTCAATTTTTGTGCGGGAACCGCGGAATAGTTTAGGCGTCCAGTAAATATACTGTCTAGGATTTGTAACGCGCATTCCTTGTTGGATAGCCTTTCCCGGGACTTATTGTGTCCGACTCAGAATCTATATAAGTGCATTTGACAATATTAGCTAGTGCGGCCTTTGATATTCTAGAAATAACTGTTGCGACGCGAAACGGTAGTGACCTTTGATCCGGACACTCCGTGTTCGTTTTATGTGTTAAGCTTTATAAAAAACGAGAGTTAGTGGCTTCTGTAAGTTAGTTAATCGTACGATAGAGTTAATGGACTGTCATCGTGACGAACGAAGAAAGTGACTGTGGACGGCGCCGCGGAAAATTACCTCAATTTGGAGCGGTGCTGACGTCCGGGCTGCTGCCGACGGCAAAGGTCTAATAAGGTCAATCACCACCAGTCACACCCAGATACACATCACAGCACCTTATTTCCCTTGCACCACACAACCACATGCGACCTGACCGAATCCTAAGGGACCAGTCGCCTTGGATATAGGTAATTAAGCTCCGTTTAATATTCTCCCTGTTGAATGGCAGTAGTATAGAACGCTCCCCCTTTTGTTTATTTTAATTAGAGAAATTTCACGCGGCCATATTGAGGCCCGACCTACGTTCTGTTCTTTGAAACTCTGGTGAATGGGCCCCAGAGGATTTGATCTTTTGGAGGAGCAGCCGTAGGCCGTAACAGAGTTATATGTACTAGGTACTAGAGAAGCCATTCCAAACAAAAATTGTGTCCTACTGTATTCGCGCATACGCGGGAGTAGTAGTCGCGCATGCGCGAAGACTTTAATTTAATATAAAATAAGATATTAATATAAAATAAATATAGGAATTTGGTATAAAATATCTTAATTTAATCTGAACAAACACATTATATTTCTAAGTAAAATGTAAATGTAAATTATTTTATGGAATTCACAAATCTTCAATTTACGCAATATTTAGTTTGTACGGATTGCAGTACAGTTCAGTTGAACATAGTCAATGTTCGGAATGGCTTCTCTAGTACATATAATTTAATGCTTTAGCCTCTTTCACAAAAGTCACGAACTCACAGGTTTAGGGAAATGATAACACTTACATATAAATACTACAATAACGGAACATACTTATTTGGCGACCTGTTCCAAAAAGTACTTATTTTGCTCCGGTCGCCACGTGGCTCCAAACCGGCGACATGTGCGTCATTAAATTCCGCAAATATAGGCTTCAGTTCCATCAGCACTGTCAATGATTGGGCTACTGCGAACTCTTTCCCGCCGCGTGCTCTTACCCCGAATGTCTGGATGTAGTCTATTAGATGTATGGTACTAAGCACACATGTATATTTCATGCTCACTGAAAAATTTGATTTTAATCTACCCCGCACCATGTCTTTGGTAATCTAATCCCATAAGCTAAATATAGAAATTATGAATGACTCCGATACGGGTATGTATTTTTTTTAAAAACCTTATTACTATTGCACCTATTCTTTTTCATTCTTCATCGTCTAATTAATTCAACATTTTTGCACAAATATTTCTGTATGTTTATAATTTAACTAAATAATGAGGTATTTAAACAAAGCAAACACAGAACATAAAGGAAATACGTAATAACTCCCATGTGCAATATTCATAATACACAAGTATTTATAGAGATAAACCAAATTGCTAGCGCAAAAACATTATTCATTGGCATTATTCCAATTTAATATTACACTCCTAAATAACTAAATAACGTTGTCCAAATATTCCAAATTCAGATACTGTAATTGTTCCGACTTTCCAAAGTTCACATCTCTACGTTTTAGTCTCTAAATTATGTGGTATGGTTTTAGAGGGGTATCTCTGTGTATATGTATATGTACGTATGCATGAACGTCCTAATGTACGTAAAACCATATGCGTTCGTTGTTAATATTTTCCTAATATATTAGGTCCTTACATATGAAATTAGCATTTTGTCGTACTGACCACTTTGATCTAAGATATTTCCTCTTTGATTAAGAATTCGAAATTCAAATTTGTAAATTCATTTAGCTGGTACATTTGAGTTTTGGAAACAGTCATTCATTTGTTTTTTCCTCATTATTTTTTTCTTTGGCATCGCTTATCACCGCACAATGGAAAACATGAAATATCGGTATATTTACGAGTACAAGTTCTACCGTGGCACCAGTGCCGCAGAAACAGCTCGAAGGATTAATGATGTGTACGGCGCTGGTGTCGCAAAAGAAAGCACGGTACCGTTTTTGGTTTCAACGTTTTCGTTCTGGAAATTTCGACCTTCAGAACCAACCTCGTGGACGGCCAGAGACCAAAGTGGAAAATGAAGATTTAAAGACTATTGTGGAAGCGGATCCATCACAAAGTACTTCACAGATAGCTGCAGGCTTCGGGATAAGTATATTGTCAGCAATTACAAACTATGAAAGAAGAACTAGCTGCTAAACAACCGAGATTGTTCAATCGCTCTATGCCGTAGATGCACAGACCGCGGCCCGCGGGGCGCATGTGGCCCGCCGGTTGAATACTGGTGGCCCGCCGACAGCAAAAATAATACTCTCGTACATTCGAAAAATATTGAATTATATTCCAGAATAAAACCAAAAAAAATATGTTCGAAAAGTAATTTGAATCTCGCGCGCGCGCTCTTAAGTGCGCTTATCGGTGCGCCGTGCATGCGTCGGTAACAACGGTCGCTAATGTTCGTGCTGATCTCGGTTAAATTCGTTTTCTTGAGGAACCGCCGCGGCCGGCGGCGCGGCGACGACGGCAGCGCGGTGGCGGATTATCCACGGGTTATATTGTTAGAGGAAGCGAGATAGCAATAGTCCCAAATTCCCGATTGCTCGGGATAGATACACGAAGCTTCCAGAGTCGGTTTTGTGATTTCTCCAGACAGTTTTCGACTCTATACGCGCGGTATAAAAGCCACGCTAACCGCAGCGACCGACAGTTCGGTTTTAATTTGAGTGAAGTGTCAATAGTTCTAGTGTAGATTTTAACTCGACTAGCCGGTGTCATATATTTTGATCCACATTCAACGTAGATTTCCCGTCAAGTGCCGTGTATAATTGTGTTGTGAAATCGTAAGTAAAACTCTGTTATTAATAAGTGTTTCCCTACCTATTTCAATTATTCAATTAATCTAATCTAATCAATTATTTTTGGTAATTTAAAAAAGGATGGGTAATTTAAGTAGGTACTGTAATTGTTTTTAGGTGCTGTGTTAATTCTAGCCAGGATTAGAACGCAACATGGACAAGCCAGGACCTAGTAAAAACCGTAAGGTTAAAGATGAAAATCGGCAGTTTCAAGAAATTTGGACTGAGAAATACTATTTTGTATGGTCGCATAACAAAGTCGTTTGTTTAATTTGCAAGAATTCTGTTGCGATTGCAAAGGAATATAATGTAAAAAGGCACCATGAAACGCAGCATCCTACTTTTACCAAGTTTACAGGCGTATCGAGAAAGCAAAAACTGTTGTCTTTATAACGGGAGCTTATTGATCAGCAAGCTATGTTTACAAAACCCATTCAAGATTCAGAAACAGCTACAGAAGTTAGTTATGAAATTTCTCGAATGATAGCAAAGCGAAGTCGCCCCTTCAATGATGGAGATTTTGTAAAAGAATGCATAGAAATTGTCGCTAAGAAAATGTGTCCAGAAGCAGCAAAAAAGTTTAAGAAAATTCAACTGAATCGTATGACTATCCAAAGACGAATAATGTCTTTGTCAGGTAATATTGCGGAACAATTAAATGAAAAAACTGAGATCATTGAATTTTTTTCATTAGCACTCGACGAATCCACTTATATTAGTTCCACAGCTCAACTTCTGATATTCATACGAGGTGTTACTCAAGATTTTGAAGTCTTAGAAGAGTTATTAGGAATGTGTTCATTGAAAGGTCAAACCAGAGGAGTTGATATACTCAATGTACTTTTGGATGAGTGTTCAAAAACTGATTTGGACTTATCAAAATTATCGGGAGTTGCGACTGACGGTGCCCCTTCGATGATTGGTGTCAATTCTGGGCTAGTTACTTTGCTGAAAAAGCATCTGCAAGAAAAAAACATAAACTCTGAAGATCTCATGCATTTTCACTGCATTATACTCCAAGAAGCCCTCTGTTCTAAAAAAATTGAATTTCAAAAAGTCATGAAAGTGGTAGTTTCGAAAATCACGAGGACTCAATCACAGGCAATTCAAACAATTCCTTGATGACATCGAAAGCGAATATGGAGATTTACTGTATTATTCAGAAGTAAGGTGGCTAAGTCGTGGATTGACACTGGAACGATTTCTAAATTTAATAGAAGAAATTGGAATATTTCTGGCGAAAAAGCAAAGGGATGTCCCGGAACTTAAAAATCCTGATTAGTTGTGTGATTTGGCTTTATTAGTTGATATTACAAATCATTTGAATGTCTTGAACACACGGTTTCAAGGCAAAATCAACTGATATCCCAGCTCTACGCTCATGTATCATCCTTTCAATGCAAGCTGATACTTTTCAGATCGAAATTGAATTCTGGAAATTATAATCATTTTCCGAATTATAAGTAAATGGCTGAAAAATTCAACAAAACTGCGATTAACTTCAGTTATGTAGAAAAGCTAGATATTTTGATTCAATCTTTTTAAGACAGATTTTCGGAGTTTAAAAAAGTGAAACCTCTGTTGGACATATTCAGCAATCCTTTCACGATTTCAGTAGAAAATGCGCCAGAGTCAATGCAGTTAGAAAATATCGACATTCAAAACGACCAAGATTTATGCCACAAATTCAACGAAGGATACTTGCTGAACTTTTACCGCTGCATTGATAAAAATACGTACAAAGAGTTGCGCATAAACGCTCTGAAATGTGCCAGCTTATTTGGTTCTACCTATATATGTTTTTTTTTATAGGATAGGGTGACAAACGAGCACACAGTCCACCTGATGGTAAGTGGCCACTGCGACCCATAGACATCTACATCTATCCTCAATAAAGACTCAAGATGCAGATGCGTTGTCACCCGTGAGGACTACGATGGAATGCCTCTTTGCCAGTAAAAAGGGTCTCCGGTTCTCTATACTCACCATACGAAACACAGCAGCGTTAAGCTGCTATTTTACGCTGGTATTCTGTGAGAGCGTGGTCCTTCCCCGGTCGAGCCGACCCATTCGTGCTACAACTATACCACTAATATAGCTGCAGCATGGCACTACCACGTATAGAACAAACGATATGTGAACAAACTTTTTCAATACTAAATAATAATAAAACAAAAAAAAAACGAAACCGCCTTGCAAATGAAAGTTTGGAAGCAGTTTTACGTGTTGCTACAAGTAAATTTGAGCCAAATATAAAAAAGATTGTAAGCACTATGCAGTACCACGCTTCAACTTAATAAATTCTTTTTCAATTTTAATACATTATTATCAATTCTTTATTGTCTTTAATTACCTATACTTCTGGCGGCCCGCCATCAGTTCATAATTTGCCCGAGTGGCCCCTAGTCTTAATAAGTCTGTGCATCACTACTCTACGCCACTGCTGCTTTACGACAACGCAAGACCACATACTGCACAACAAATAACGACAACAAAGAGTTCATTGATTCTCGCCCCCATGGTTTTTTTTTTAGTAAAGGGATCAATGAACTACCTATGAGATAGCAAAAGTACATCGATAACAACGGTGCATACTTTTATTAATTAAATATATTTTACAAAAAAAAAATTGACTTTATATTCCTCCCGTACAAAACGCCAATTTCATATGTAAGGACCTAATATTATGTTGAGAACAAATATTCCTATATCAACGTCGGATTGGTTTGCTTTGATTCATAATTACCTATATTATTAAAGCCTGATTAAGCTATAATGAACGAATAAATGAATTATTCAATCATTCATTTTTCATTCATTACTGTCTATCGTAAGTTCACTTCTTAATACAAGCCGCCTTATAGTTAGGTAACTGGCAAATTATTTCATTCCATTGCTGAGATCGTATACAAACCAGACCATAAGTTAAAGCAGTACGCTGAGACATGTCCTTATTCATATTAGAGGCAGTCACGGTGTAAAATACTGTCACATTTTTCCATATTTTTTACAAGAAAAATTGACTGCATTGCAGCTTATTTGATCTTAGGCTCTAAAATCGCCTGAATTTGAAGTTTGTGACGAATTTTACCCCATTCTAGATCTAGATGCTGAAAACTTTTGGTGAATTATAAGGGTTACCTAAGGATTCCATTATTAAAAGAGAGAAAGGTTTTAACGCTATCAAGATACAAGCGTATATTACTTTTCATAAGAAGCCCGATCTTTGTGTAACGTTTGTGTGTTAAAAAAATGATCAGAATAAAAAAGTTCGGTCTCCTTAGAAATATTTATATACGCTTGTATTTTGATAGCGTTAAATCTTAATATTGATTTATGTTATACTGAGTGACTTAATGTGCACAATGAAAAAGAAAGCATTAAGAATGATGATCTACTGGTGGATCTCTTTGATTTGGTGATCCTCCTTTATGACCCTTTACTATGGTGAGGAATTCGCTATGTTACCAGGAGAGCAGCTAAGCGCTACAAAATATATGGTTTACTTTTACCATACGTGGATAAATCTTCATGGATATCTCTAGTGGTGATTAGTCTGTCTTATTCGGAAATAAATTGGTTACTACTTCTAGAAACAGAGGTCAGATACAATAGATAAACGGAGGCGCCCAGGGACGAATTTTTTATTTTCACAGTAAGTTGGTGGGTCTCCAAATAGAATATATGAAGTTTCATCAAGCACGACTGTCTGATCTACTTTGCGTTTACACGTTGATTTATATTCTATGATTAAATTCAGTAGCATCAAGAGTACTCGAGCTAATGGATAATTATATGTTGCTGTGTAGCATGTTGTAATATTCAAATGAAAACAAAACCTCGACGAAATCAAAAGCACTAGGTGAAGCCACTCTCCTCAAAAAGAGAACTAAATTTAGTTTGGATAAGAATCACCCTCTTGCCTATATCTGCCGCCAAATAGCAGATCTGAAGAGTATAGAACGCCACTCTAACTACAGGTTGTGAGGCATTCCATCTTATTCCTCAAAGGTGACAACGCATCTGTAGCTTTTGTTCTAAAGTTGTCTAAAGGTGTCCATGGACTGCAGTAGTCACTTACCATCAGGTCTTTTTTTATAGAATGAGGGTGACAAACGAGCACACAGTCCACTTGATGGTAAGTGGTTGCTGTAGCCGATAGACATCTACATCTATCTTCGTTTGCGAATTAAAATGCAGCCGTGAGGACTAAGATAGAATGCCTCTATTCCAGTAAAAACTGTCTCCGGTTCTCTACACTCACCATACAAAACACAGCAGCATTAAGCTGCTATTTTACGCTGGTATTCTGTGAGAGCGTGGTCCTTCCGCGATCGAGCCGAGCCATTCGTGCTACAACTATACCACTAATATAGCTGCAGCATGGCTCTACCACGTATAAAGGACAGTAAGTTCGTTGGTCTTTATTTTTATTAAAAAATTACTTAATCATAAAACTTTATCCACTAGTCCTATATATAGTTTGAACTTTTGAACTTTCTCAAATGAACAATAAACGTCGAACAAGCTCGTAAGTGGAGACCCGTTATAGTATTAAACAAATAATTTTCATTTGTAATAGTATCTTTCCGCGTAAGTTTAATACTGTAGCATTAAATCCATTCTGAATATAAAACTAGGTTATTGCAATTTTCATAACTGTAAGTAAACAAAGACTTTTTATGCACGCGATGATTTGACTCGATAATTTGTGTTTTTGTAAGTTAATGACATAATAGCAATAGTAATAAAATTAATTATTGCACTTTTGCCTTTTTTTTATAGGGGAGGGAGCAAACGAGCATGCGGCTCACCTGATGGTAAGTGACTACCGCCGCCCATGAACAACCGCAACACCAGGGGAATTGCAGATGCGTTGCCGGCCTTTTAAAAAGGAGTAGGCTCTTTTCTTGTAGGTCCCTAATTCGTATCGGTCCGGAAAAATCGCTGGGGGTAAACTATTCCACAAGGAAGTTGTGCGAGGAATAAAACATCTTCTAAATCGCACAGTGGTGGACCGCCAATCATCCAGATGGTGTGGATGGTATCGAGAGTACTGCCGCGATGTGCGTTCGTAAAATTTGGCGGCTGGGATTAATCCGAACAATTCCTCAGAGCACTCCCCATGGTAAATGCGAAAGAAAATGCAAAGAGATGCAACATCTCTTCGGAGTGCCAATGAGTCGAGCCGATCGGAAAGGACTCGGTCGTCGACGATTCGAGCCGCTCTGCGCTGGATGCGGTCAAGTGGATGGAGCTGGCACTGGGGAGCCCCAGCCCAGAGATGGGAACAGTATTCCATGTGAGGCCAAACCTGCGCCTTGTAAAATAAGCTTTGCCTCTGTAGAATATTAGCCTTATATTTATACTTATAATTACTTAGTAATTTATGATCGCAAATAATAATAAGAACTGAAACAGGAAAAGTTTAATTATTTAATATCACGAAACACGTCAAATACTTACCTATACACTCTTTCATATTGTACCCCGTTCATATCAGCATATTTCTAAAATAAATGAGTGCGTGTAACTTTTAAAACGGTTGATGAAAATATTACTAATATTCAATTCTGTTATGTATTTTTTTTCCAAATAAAGTTTCTCTTATTAATAATATATATAGAGGGATATAAATCAATAAAATAATAATTATTATTATTACTGCACTATGTTAAAATAAGTATTCTACTTATGAATTTAAGTGCAATGCACTTAACATAATATAATAAAATAAAATAAAAAAGCCTTTTATTTCTTGCATAAGTAACAAAATGAATAAACTAAGCTTAAGATTAAGATATATATTTAATCTGCAAGAACCCTTCCGCAGGTGAAGGCCTCCTCCAAAGAGTCCCAATTTTCTCTATCTTGGGCTTTTTGCATCCAGCTTGGGCCGGCCGTTTTGCATATATCATCCGCCCATCTCGTAAGCGGTCTCCCTCTGTAGCGTTTTCCGCTTGGACCTCTCCACCGTGTCACCCTTATGGTCCACCGCTCGTCTGACAGTCTCGCTACATGCCCCGCCCACTTCCATTTTAGTTTTTTGGCATAGTTTAGAGCATCAGTAGCTTTAGATATGCTTCTAATTTTAGTGTGTCTTATTTTTTGTATTTTCCTTA